ATATAATTAACTTGTTAAACCTGGAACGTAAGGTAAACTTAGAGTTTCTTTTTTGTTTTTTTTCATAAGTAGATTTTAATGTGGTATTTTTAACTGAATTTGCATTTTTGTTAAACTTCTCAAATGCTTTGTCTGCTATATTTGGATCAAATCCTCTATCAATAGCTAGATACGTAATTAATAACAATTCGTTATTTAAATCTTTCTTGAACATAATTTTAAAGCTCTATAAACATATGTATGGAATGCTGATATTTTTTGGGTTTTTATATGACATGATTCTTTATGAGCGGTATAATAACAGCCAAAGGTTTTCTATAAACCGATGTTTCTAACTTACCTTCTTCCTTCATAACTAATACGTCTAAGAAATTAATGCTATTATTATCTTCAATTTCACACGTGAATTGAATTGCTGGTTCTTTACTATTTAAATAACTAAAAAATTACTGTAGTTTGCTGTTGCCATGTCGCCACACCACGAGTGTGTAATCTACATATCTTATCAAAACTTCTGGCTTAAATTTAGCGTTATTTAAAGCTTCATTTTCAAAACTATCCATATAAAGGTCACATAACAACGTTGTATTAGTTTTTTGCGATATTTTAAAGTGGAAGTCGTACGGCTTCAATAAAACTTTTATTGTGTAAATATAAAACGTTGTTTTTAATTACTTATTATAATTTTAAAAAATTTAAACATAAGTGCCGGTAGTGCATATTTTAGCATTATATATACACACATATATATATATATATATATACACACATCATAATACATCCTTCTGAATTAAACAAAGAAAATTCCAGAATATCTGATACAGAATTCATTTTTAGTATTTTAACACAAAAAGTTCCAATGATCCCAATGATATAAATATTTCTGAAACAGTTCGAGAATTTTTTTCAAGATCTTAGAAATTCCTTCACTTACTACTAGCATTCCTTCCTTTCATAAATACGTTACAAAATTCCATCATGCCAGTTTCTATTATATAATGATCAACCTTCATATACGTGATAAATATCGGTTCAAAGACTTCTCACGTATCAACCAATAACAGAAAATAAAATACTTAAAACAATCTCATAAATATTTGTAGGATTTAACTATCTTATACGTGCGTGATTTATATTTTGTTGGTGCTAGTCAAAGTAAGAATTCACTTTACCTTCCACATCATTTTAATGGAGTTAGGGCCAGTAGCTTGCGCAGAGACATCTAGTGGTGGAGCACTTGGAACTGCAATATTGAAAGTGGTTTGTTATGAACAGATATCATTTTATATACACAACAACAAAACTCCATTATATCTTACTGTCATTTTTAAAGGTATCTGCAAGTACGAATAAATAAAAAGAACGCTCATAACCAAATCATTCATCAA